AATACATCACCGCGAGTGCGGAATCCGAAAATTGTGAGCTCAAACCCTCTCGTCTCAAGCTCTCGACAGGATGCGATGGTTCTGGACGATGCAACTCCAAGAATGTTGCTATGCATCGCATTTCTTATCTAGTGGAAGGGCGATGGCTGGTCACTACAAGTGTAAAAGACGAAGACAACGGCGTACCAATGCGGTCATTTGTTTTTTAATGCTTTAAGGAGCGCTTTGTATTTGTTGTCGAGCGTTGCGCGTGCTGTACGACTGCAGCGTCGACGTAGCGTGGCCTGCTCTACTCCCCAAAGTGTCTTCTATCGTTGTGCCAACTTTAGGCGATTCCATTTCAAACGTGATGTGGTCGACAAGTGGCGTCGGCGTCCTAGCGTGGCGGCTATAAGATGGTACTACGATCTTAGTTTGTAGTGCGTCGCGCCTCTCAGATGGCGCTACGATCTTAGTTTGGCGTGCATCTTGGATCGCGTTTCGGTACCGCTGTACGCCTCGCTCGTCGACGCGACCTCGCATTCTGTGGTCTCCAAATCGCCCTCTACAAATGTGCCAAATCTTGGCGAGTTCATTTTCAAACGCAATGTGGTCGACCTGGCGTTGGTTTGGATGGAATCGCGCCGCGATAAAGACTGAAAAATACGAAAATTGTGTAGTGTACGACGCTTGGTGTTGAGTGAGACTCTCGATTCCGGCGACAACGACGTTAATCTCAAACAAATAGTACGCGATCTTCTATTCGGACGATATCAAGCTGACGCTGTCGACAATACCGTCCAAGAGGAGTACAATGTTGCGCCGCTGGGACTTGACGACGCAGTGCGCGTCCGAGTCGAGGCGCGTCGCTGCGGTCGTCGCCGCATCCCGTAGCTTCGCGACCACTCGTCACTGGCTTGCAGAAGCGCGTGCGCTGGCTGTTGTACAGAAGCCACCACGCGGCGCGAGATGCGTGAATTGCGACGATGACGTCGGACGCCGCCGCGAGCACCGCCTGCCACTGGACGAGTGCTTTTTTGTTCATGGGCGCACACGCCATGTGACGCACCCAGCGCGTCGTCGCCTGCAGTGCGATTGGCGCTGCCAAAAGGTTGCCTAGATGGCATGCAATCGCGTGCTGCTGCTGAGCTCGGCGCGGCTGTCGTCCGCTGGCGAATTTACCAAGACTTCAACGAATCCGACAGCGGCAATCAAGAGGCTCTTGCTGCCCTCGATCTGCCGCAGCGTCTCGTCGAGCGATGCAACTGCTTTTGTGATGAAGCCTCGCGTAAAGGCAGTGACGACACCATACGAGTCATAGGTAAAACATTGACCCGTGTCACCGAGAGGCTGAGGACAGAGTAAGCAAACCGACTGCAGACGCCGACGGGTATCTCCATCGGCAAGAGATACATGACAGTGTGTATACCAAATAATGATCAATCAATACGCACCGATGGCCACAGCAACGACGGCAAGTTCGGGTCGATAGGAGAAGGCTCAAGCTGCTGCAGTGCAAGAGTGGGCGCCGATGCCAGCGTCGTCGTCTCGTCGAGGCGCAACTATCGATTCAAAGTCGAGCTTTCTCACGTGCCACGGCGGCACCAGCGGCACGGCGGACGCGCCGATGCCATCGCGCGCGCATGGCGGTGGGGATGCAACGTCGCTAGTGCATTGTAGAGGACTATGTCGGTGTCTGTTGTCGCGCGCTTGATCGACCACGGTGTCAAGCGTTAGAGGCGTCTACTGCCTCGAGAAAGTCGTCCAGACCTGGTCCACAGCGATCGCGCGTGTGCTTCTTACTAGGTCGCGCATGGTCCCACAAGCAGCGGCAGGGTTGAAACCTCGTTCAATTCAGACGTCTAGTCGCGTTGTGAGACAAACCTGACGCGCAAGCAGTGTAGTACCTTGTGCCAGACGCGAACGAGCGCCGACGCCGTCAAGAATGTGGCCCGTGCCAATCTCGCGTCTGCGCCGTGGACCTTGGGCGCGCGCAGCCAGAGACGATGGCTGCCGAGGGCTATAAGCTTTGCTCGTTGGCAACGCGAGCACACGTCGGATTGCACGCGACGTCGAGCGAGAGGTTCGCTGCGGGCGGAAGGTTGGCGTGGCGCCGCCAGCAGTCTCGGGCTGACTACCGTGTACAAGCAGCAGGACGCCATGCGCGGGTGCTTGAGCTGGAGTCATCGGGATTGGCGCCGTGAGTTCGCGCGCGCTCTGAAGACGACGCGGCGCTTGCGCAGCTCCTTCTCCACCGCCGACGTCGTCGTGACTTGCCGCTATGTCGACCGTTTTGGTATTGCGCTTGCTGTTGGTATCCGGATTTTGTCCGGATATGCATTCGACCCGCCATGCTTGGTGTGGCTCAGTGTGACATGGGTCCTCGACGAGAAGCATTCGCACGCTGCATGAGAACGCAGAGGTCGTTGCAAGCGCTAGCCTGGTCATTCAATGCCCTGAATCGAAGGTATGAACGACGAAAGAAAGCCTAGGCCACACGTTCACAGTCGGCAGGAGCGACCGCCCTGCCGTGCGACCGAGGCCCTCGATCGCAAATTGCAGAATGAACAGCGCTCCAGGTTTTACCGATTCTCTTGTAAAAGCACTGCGTTTCGCCTTTGTCATGCTCGTTTTTACACTTCTTTTTACACGACTGAACGTTTGCTCGAAAATGGGACCTTCTCCGAGTGCCACGTCATAGAAATCGAGTAAACTTGTGAATACCTCATCTCTGGTATACGAGGGCGCATTATAGCCTGGCACACGTTTTACACAAGTGATAGTAGACGACAGTAAATCACCGCGAGAGAGTCGCTCGTGACGTACCAGGTAGTATAACTCAATGCGCGATGCTATGAATTGCATACTTATTTCAGTGTAAGGGCGGTCGTCGCTACTATAAGTGCACCAGACTCAAAGCGCCATGTATTGGCTCGCGTTGAATATCTAGATGGATTATGCTGGAATAAAACAGCAATTGTTGGCGAGTTTCAAAACAAATACTTGCAGGCCTTTGATTGCCACGCACGTTGGCATTACAGCCTCTCAACTTCTTCTTGCGAATCCTCGCCGCCGGTAGCCTATGCGAAGCGCGGGTCTTTGAGGATTGTCTCGCCGAAGGCCACGTCATTCGCCCTTTTGCGGCGAGAACGAAGCAATCGACCACGCGCTGGACGGAGAGAGTCGTGCGTTCGCCAGGCACCGGAGCGCGGATTTCAAACCATCGGCGGTGGGCATTGCGTTGGCGGCGGGGCTTTGGAAGACAAACGCACGATCTGTTCACCGGGTCTTTAACTCTGCTGCGCATGGTCTCGAGCAAAAGCGCGGTAGCTGTGAGACGTAGTTTAGCCATGGTGCCGTCGCCCAGTTCGACCTCCATTCCCCGCAAGGCCGAGGCTCCAACCGGGTGGCACCGCTACACCCCTACGTCGTAGGTGCCTCTGGCGTTGGCTACCGGGAGAGTCTTGTCCGACCATCGCGCCGCCACGACTTGTCCCGCCGTCGCCAAGCCGTTGTGGCGAAAGAGGACAAACCGGCGCAGCAAAGGCCCATGCAAGAGCAGGCCTGGTACACCGATGCGTACGCGAACGTGCACTCGTCCTTCAGCGCCGTGAACGAGGTCTCGGGCGAGCCCTCCGACGGCAGGGTCGTGAACGTGAGCACCTTTGGGCCGCGTCTCGCACTGGCCACCTCCGTGATGCAAACGTACACCGTACAATCGTCTATCGATTGCATTCATCTTCTCAGACCCTTCGCTTGCTCGACCTTCTGCGCAGAGAAATTCTTCCACTTGTTGGTACAATCATCATGTTCCATCCTTCCAGCTTGTTGTCAACAAGTCGAGACTTGGCGTAGAGATAGACAATTCACCATATATTATGGACCGACAACTGACAGCACCTTATAAACACGACGACGAGAGTGCGATGGCTTAGTGCATGTCTTGCGTCAGCGGCACGTAGCCATCTTCCATCGAGATGACCGACGGCCCATCCTTCTTGGACACGGAGACGGCAACGATCGCCGCGACGGCACCCACCATGGCGACAGCAACCAAGAGCAGCGCCGCTTGGCCCCCAGGCGCATCGTACACCGAAACAAACTTCTGTGTCGCCTTGGCCGAGCACTGGCGCGCCTTGTACGCGAACGCCGAGGCGTAGTCGTCACCGTAGTGTGCGTCCTCGTTGTTATGGGGGCACCAGGCGTGGACGCCGTTGCAAAAGCGGCTCGTATCGCAGAGGTCCTCGGCGGCGTGACACAACGTGTCCTTCGCAATGGTATCGACGCACTTGCCGCTGCCGTCGCAGTAGTCGACGCCGTCGCACGCGTGGTCGGACGACGCTCCGATCGACGTGCACTCGGTCGTTCGGGGCGCAAACGTGTCGTGGGGGCATTTGCCGTTGTAGCTCGTGCAATACTCGGGCACGTCGCAAATATCACTCGCTTGGCGGCAGACTACGTCGCTGCCAAGGAACGTTTCGATGCAGCCTCCGTGCCCGTCACAGACATCGACGCCATCGCACTTGCCACCACTCGACTTGCCAATCTGTGTGCAGACCTTGCCCATGGGCGCGGCGACGTCGTCGGGACAGACGCCACATTCGCCCGAGCAATACTCGGGCTCGTCGCAAACGTCGACTTCCCGGCGGCAGAGATGCTTCGTGCCTTTGAAGTGGTCAATGCACTTGCCGTAGCCGTCGCAGCGGTCAACGTCGTCACACGCGCCGCCCGAAGATTTGCCAATCGAGGTGCACTCGATACCCTTGCGTGCAAAGCTGTTGCTCGGGCAGTCGCCGCTGACACCCGTGCACGTTTCTGCCTCGTCACAGACGTCGACCGCGTGGCGGCAAACATGTCTGTTGGACTGAAACTTGTCCACACAGCGACCACGGCCGTCGCAGTAGTCGGGTGCGTCGCACGGGCCGTCCGTGGACTTGCCCATTTTGGTGCACACTTTGGACGACGGCGCAAACTCGTCGTCCGGGCACTGGCTGTTGTCGCCACTGCAGTGCTCGGCCGCGTCGCAGAGGTTGCGGGCCCTGCGACAGACGGTGGTTTGGTCCTTGTAGCCGTTCAGACACGTGCCGTCGCCGTCGCAGTAGTCATTCTCGTCGGCATCGCACGGACCGCCGTTGTCGCAGCTCTGGCCCGGGCAGAGCGTACCGCGCGGCAGCTGCGTGTACGTGCACTTGCCATTCTCAAAGTCCAAGACCTCGCGACACGGAACCTCGGGGCACCCGTCTTCGTCGGCAATCGTCACCGTGTCAACATCAGCCGAGTCCACCCGGTAGTGGTGGTTGGCCGCGTAGTCGACGTGCGTTGGCCCATACCGAGGCCCTTTGGAGTACGTTGGCTGTACGTTCGTGATCGGCGCGACGTCGATGATGGGATCGAGTACGTTCATGGTTGGCGCAATGTCAATGATGGGGTCAAGTACGCTCGTGATG